ATTTGGCTGGTCCAAGATGTAATACCAATCAGCACCTGTCTTTGACTTCTATTTTCTGGTTTCATTTAAATCAATTCTAGATTTATTTTCTCGAGTCCTCATCTCTGCAGTAGCAGAGACAGGGCCTCTACTCCTTACCAGTAACCCGTGTCCTTTTGTCTGCCCCAAGAACAGGGATATAAGCTGTGTCCAAATAGGTTCTGAATTCTGCAGACTCATCAGTTTGAAGCAATGAATCATTCAAAACTACTTTGTCTCCTCTGGGAGAATGACATGTCTTCAATATTTACGTAGCTTCTTCTATATACACATATGCAAAGCTTTCCTTAACAGTAAAAGGTACAATATGCATAGTGGGAGATCGGACCTTTACCGGTGAGGGAAAGCAACTTCAGAAATGAATTATTTTCTTTGCTTTATTATTTTTACCAAGACAGAGAAGTATTGTATTGAGAGATATCTATTTTCATAATCAATATGTGCCTAAATTATATTTAAATCATTTCACTCTGTACTATATATTTTCAATAATTATAGAACGTGTTGTTCATCCACTTAAGGGTACCTCTGTAGACATAACTTAAAACTGCAGAAGAATCCGAAAGAGCTAAACGTGGTATGCTTAGAAACTGCAGATTTTGGATCTAATGTATACTGCATTAATAAATGATGTGAAATGTTGAAAAGGAGTTTCTTGTCATGTTTTTGAAAATCAGCACTTGTAATTTGCTTACATTTCTTCACCATATGTTGATGACCAGCCCCAAGGGTCAGGTTGGAAACGAAAATGCAACATGATAATTAAAACCGATTAGTCTCTTTGAAAGTGCCATTCAGGCAAATTTACTTAAAGTGTGATTATTTTATGACCCTCTTTTTAAAATCCACCATGCTAACAACACAAAGAGATCTCATTAATTCTGAAAAGACAAGACTACCTTCCAGTAATACTTCGAGTTAATTCGAGTTACTCTTCAGCTGATGAACATTAAAAGTTAGCTTTATGAGGTTAAGAACATTTTCCCCAAAACATTCTCACCTAACACCTGGGAGAGAGGATTTTGAGGGAGGAGTTTCAAAATAGTAAAACTTCTATTAAACCTCGTGATGGACATGTCTGTACACGGGTAAAAATACAGGTGGGGGTGGGAGACTAGAAAAAGGTTAAACCTAAATTAAAATTCAGTACTTGTGTAATTACTCAGGTATTAGGTTGTAATATAATCTAGTTCTTCTAATTACAGTTTCAAAAAAATTTAGTAGGAAGTACTGCAGATTCATTTTCTTACAAAGGTTACTATCAAAAATCAGGACTTGGAATATTCTCTCCAGTTGCTCACTTCATGAATTGGTGACTTACACTCTAAATCAACCCCCATGTCAGCTTCAAATCATGTTTAATGAAAAGCCCTAGAATTTCATTAAATTTCCAAGGAGGTATTATCTTTAAAATTAAAAGGTACACCTCTGTGAAGAAAAGTGGTTACATTTTCTGTACAAAGCACCTTAATGCAAGGATTAATTCTCTGAAAGACTTTCACAACTTTAACTATGCCAGCAGGAGTTCACCATGGATTCCTCCTGCTGAGATTTTACATTAGGCAAAAAAGAGGGTTGTATCCATCACTCATCAAGATTACGGAGTCATTATTGTAACACTTTAATAGTTTTGATAATGTTGAAAGTGAAACAATTTTCCCTCTAAAGCCATACACTTTAAGATCTGGAAATTTCTAAATTGAGAAAAAAATTATGACAACCATAAAATCCATTCATGATAAATGGTCTATCCGTGGAACTATGAAACGCTTCGAAGTTTGTCACTAAACATCGAAATTCCATAAACTGCATGTTTGATCTCTTATTTGATACTGTAGAAAATGAATCTGGCCTTTGCCCTTGAGATCTCTGTGCCCTAAGAATATGACACAGATTTGGCATAAAGCATACTGTATGTATTTGTATACTATGTGGCTATGTTCATCCCAAAATTTCAAAACATGATTCTAAAGTTTAATACCAACCGATAGAAATAAGCTACAAGAAATCCACTGATGCGTAACCAAAGATAAGTGCTTAACATGAAATAAGGGTCAGATGTCTTACCTCCCATTTCCTTAGTCCTGACCAATGACCACATCTGCTTACATAACACTGTTAGCCCCACACCTCTTTCAGCAAATGGGAAATCCGTTGGAGAATTTGAACACTATTCAAACATAATGAACTCTTGAAAAAGAGCCTCTCGTGACCTTTGTATTACAGTGAGATAACTTTCACGTCAAAATGGCTCAAATTTTTCAGTGTCTAAGGAAATAAAATAATTTAAATGAAATTAATCACTTTATTTATTTTTTTCTTTAAATTCCCCTCTGTCTGCAATTATACTTGAAAGCTTATCCCCTTCTCTACCCTATCATGAGACTCTGACAACCTCCACAGAAATGGCTGAGGAAAGCACAGAGTTAAGTTGCCCTCCACATTGCTCTTTATGCTGACATCTTGCAAATGTAGTTGTTCCAGAAGACACTGGGCAATGACTGATTGGTTTAGATCCTACCTGAGGAGAAACTGCCAATCCTAGCTCTAAAATGAATATTCCAGGGGCGCCTGGGTGGCTCAGTGGATTAAAGCCTCTGCCTTCAGCTCAGGTCGTGATCCCAGGGTCCTGGGATCGAGCCCCGCATCAGGCTCTCTGCGCAGCAGGGAGCCTGCTTTCCCTTCTCTCTCTCTCTGCCTGCTTGTGATCTCTGTCTGTCAAATAAATAAATAAAATCTTTAAAAAAAAAAAAAAACTTTAAAAAATAAAATAAAATGAATATTCCAGTCATTTTAAACCATTTTACAACTTAGCTAATGTAATAGGCCTCACACACAATTGTACAGGAAGATTTAATTCTGTGTCTGATAAAACAACTTTGATGAAGAAATAGAAGAAGGCTAATCTGGTTTAAAGGTCCTTACTTTTTATTCATTCATTCATTCATTCATTCGAACTTAAACTTACTGAATGCTGACTAAATGCTAGGCATTTAACAGGCTTTTAAATAAGATGGGCTCCTTGAGTCTCCTGAGTCACAACCCTGGGGTAAATTAGGGGAAGACAATCATGTACTCAAATAAATGTAACAAAGAGTAATGGCTCTCTCGTTCTTTTGTAAATGTTTATACTGTGTAAATATTATACTGTATAAAATATCCCAAGGGTTCACCACTGGGTTGGCACATCTATCTATGAAATTTGGATAACAATATCCACTTGGCAAGACTGTTGTAATGAGTGAGGTTGGTCTTATTCATAAGCCAGTTAACTACTATTTCTCACCTTAGTGTTCCCACCGCCTTTAGCACAGTGATTTGCATATTTTAACTCAATAAGTATTCTACTGAAATGAGCCAACTCTCCACCCTCCAGGTGGTCTTGGGCTTGGTGTACTTGAACTACAATGTTTCTCCCTAACATTGTGATTCTACAGAAGGCTTTCCAGATAAGTCAAGGAAGGAACCTGGTGGGAGGAGATGGGGGAATTTTCAGACTCACATGATCTACTTTAGGGTCCTATATGGGTGCAGGTATAGTGCCAATAATCACTTCTTAGTGTTTATAAATCAGCTCTGCTTACAAATGGAGAATTGAAGAGCTGAGACCAGTTCCCAGGCATCCTGACTCAACTTCTTTCTATAATTATTACATGGCCTCCTTTGTGAAAGCTTTATGGTTTGCACTTAACATCACTTAATTGAACGACAGCCATTTTCCCTCAGCTCTGGATAGGTCTATCAGTTTCCTCAAGAGAATTTAAACTAGCTAGATTTTAATCTCTGAATTGTGTTCTCAGCTATAAAAGTCTTAGCTGAGGTTTTAATGGCCAAGATTTAAGTAAATTTTATAGAGACACCAGTAGGTGTTCCAATTACATACAGCATTAAAGGGCTTTATGTGAATAGGATTAAAAAAATTGCAATTAAAAAAACCCCCATAGTCCATGTGCAGTATAATTTACCAGCAGGAAAGATTTCAGTACTGAAAAAGTTTCATATAAAAAGGAAGCTAAGAAAATGAAAAATCACAGAACTCTACAAATTCAAAAAGCAGCTCGGGATTCTTTTGGCTTTTTGTCTGCAAACAGGTAAAACAGCTTTTCTATTTCTAGCACTTGTTTGAGACCACATGCTTTTGTCTGTCTGTAGGGCATTTTTCACCCAAAGGGCTAAATCCAAGAAAACTTGACCTTCATAGTCCTTGTCACGGGGGGCCACAGAGATACAGCCTTTGGGGAATAATTACCACAGCTCATCGACTAGTATTTGATTTTTGTCTTTAGCCTCTTTCCCATCAGAAGAAATGTAACTTGAAGGCTTTGTGAGAATTCCTCCTGTAAGCAGCTAATTCAAGGCCGCCTTGGCCACAGAGGCATCTGGTCTGGGGCTTGGTGCTTTGAGAGGTCTTGAGTTCTCTCTCACGCTCACAGATGGTCCGGCCAGCACTTAAGACAGGAAAGACACTCAGCAAAATATAATTAGTGCCACAATGTATGCATTTAATGTCCTACAACTTTGTATTAGCCAGAGATTCCTAGCAGGATCTACCTTTCCAAGCCAATGGTCCAATTCTCTTTATCTCAGGAACTGGTAAAGAGTTGGAAATTAATCTGGGGTGGGGGGAGGTGCGAGGGGGGGGGGATGTTAAGGCAAAAAGGTGAACTTGATAAGTGAAGGAATCAGGGAGTTTGGATAACCAAATAAATACTAAAAATAAAAGCAGACTCACTTGGTACGAAAACATATTGAGCGTGGAAGTTCCAAGTACTGCCTTTATCTCCTGTGGCTAGGACACCAGAGGCAAGCGCATGGGGATGTGTGTTTCACGTCTATGTGTGAAAGCAGGAAGCTGCCACTTCCACCTCCTATAGACTTAACATAGAAACATTAGGCTTATCACCAAAAAGGTCTTGACTTTTTGCTCAACCCAGTCCAGGTCTGTTCTCACTGTTGCACTGATGTTCCTTAGAATGGAGCCGATTCCAAAACTTGTCGCTGGTCTTCTTCTGCTGACGTTATGTGTGGTGGGCTGCTCTGGCCAACACTGGTCCTATGGACTGCGTCCTGGGGGAAAGAGAAATGCTGAAAATTTGATCGATTCTTTCCAAGAGGTAAGGCTCTTTCATCATCAAAGTAAGATGTGGCTTATGTGGTTCAGTCTACAGTAACATTCTGTGTGTTCCCCAAAGCGTGCTTTGCTGGGCTCCATGGACTGTTGGTATTCTGGGGGACACGAGACAAGTGCAAAGGCAAGTCCCATCCCTGCTTTCTATTCAGACAGGAACAGTTCCAAGAGAATATGGCAATAGGTGCGAAGGAGCAGGTTGTACTCTGAATATCTAGAATTGCCAAAGGAGTTCAAAACAGTGGAATGGACCCAAGGTCTCCAGAGGAAGATGATTCCTTGGGATTCAGAAAGAAAATCTTAGAACTTCTGCTGATTATTTTTTTTTCCCTTATTTTGTCTTTTTAAAAGTACCTATGATACTAGGCTGGTGTACATTTTCATAGCTCATAAATAAGAATTCTTATCAAGAATGCATCATGCATGCCTTATCATTTCTTTTTACTGAAATGGGCATTTAGGCAAAGAACTTGGAGGCTGCTAGTGGGGAGGGGTTAGCAAGCTCAAGGACACAAAATATATACTGGAAAGTATCCTGAATTTGATTTCATATAAATTGATCTCAATATGTGTACCAGGACTAACATAGGGTACTTGGTTTTTTAATCTATAATATGAGACTTCTTGGGGTCATATAAGGATCACATGAAAGATGAAAGATGTCTTAGATATTAGCTTGCTAATCCCCAAAATGATAGTGGATTAATAAACATACAGTTGTTATTGTTCTTAAATTAATGGGAAACAAACAGAACCTAAAGGATGAGTGATTCGGGGCTGGGATACTTAACATAGTGCTGACAAAACAAAACTAGAGAAACTTAAAATCATTTATCTTTCTTTTTGGAGACATAAGAAAGATAATTTAGTATGAAATAAAGATGGCCTGGAATCTGAAGTCTCCTCTCCACAGATTATATGTGAAGTAACTCTTACTTAACTATGACATATTTAGTAAAAATTGAAAATAAAAGTCATCCCTATTCGTAACTAGAAGCTCCTAGACTTTTTGTAGACCATCCCTTCATGAGGTTCAAAGTACTTCATTCTCATCATCTCTAGGGAGAAAATATACTCTCCTTACTACCAGTACCCCCAGAACACCCCACCCCTCTGTATAAATGCCTCAAGTGTGGATCTATGTTCATAAAGTCCCCGTCCCACAATTCCCTTGACCTCACTCTCCACACACAGTTCTTGGTGGAAGTGGAAAATACCGTTCCATTCCATTTATCTCCATCAGCAAGAATCATGTTCTTTTTTCTCAGCTAGCGGAGGAGCTTGATCAACCAGCAAAACCTCAGCGCTTGGAATGCACAATCCACCAGCCCCGACCTCCCCTCAGGGACCTGAAAGGAGCTCTGGTGAGTCACAGCTGTAATGACATGGAGCTTTAGAGATGGAAAGGTCCTTGGTGCCACCTCCCAGGTTGTCCACGTGGGACAACCACCTCTCAGCCTCTGTGGGGCTTACCTTTCTGACTGCCTGAATTCCTCCTGGGGTAGGGCCTCACTATTTTGTGACACCCTCTCTCAGTGGGTAGACAGTACTAACGGTTAGAACCTTTTTTCCATTAGATTGAAATCTCTCTGTAACCTTTATCCCCTAATCTTGGTTCTAGCCTTTGGGATGACTGTTTCATTTCTTCCCACTGTTACGTGTCACTTCTTCACATGTATTCATCTACCACTGTCCCCCCCCCCCCACCCCCGACTCATCTAATCTAGGCTAATCCTCACCTCTCCACGGGATTCCTTAAGTCTTCACTAATGTTCTTGGTATGAAATGGCTTTTCCCTGGAAAAATGTAGAAATCAAAAATGGTGCTCTAGTTTATTTTTCCCCTTTGGAATAAAAAATTCCAAACTAGTAAATTCATAATTCAGAGCCACATATTTGATTTCCAGTTTTCTGACTGGATTCTAACCATCCCCAAATTCCCACCCAAAATGGGAATCTGCTAACCTCATGCGGGTTTTTGATAATAAGAAAGCAAGTATGCAGAGCATACTTGAATATAATTTGAATCTTGAGCTCACCGTTGTGCTCTTTGAGCTCCCGTGGTCCATTTGTTTGCAGCAGTTCAGGCCACTATAGTTGATTAGCTGCTCTGCCAGGAGCAGGGAAAGCCTGAATAAATCATATACAAACACAAGCTATAGCTTTCATTTTGCTCACTGACCTTGACTTCCACACCTCCAGTTCAACGAAAAAAAGCAGACAGACATCTTTATTGGCTTTCTGTGTCTACTCCTACTTACCACATAATAAAAATAATAGCAATCAGTGACATTTCCCAAATGTCCCTTAGAAAGAAGGTATTGAGGCAAAAGCTGGGTTAAAAACAAACTGAGATCAAGGGTGTCTGCATGGCTCAGTCGGTTGAGTGTATCCACCTTTCGGTTTCAGCTCGGATCGTGATCTCAGGGTCGTGTGACCAAGCCCCACACTGGGCTCCACGCTCCGCATGGAGTCCGCTTGTCCCTCTCCCTCTCCTCTGCTCCTCCCCCTCCACCCCACTCAGGCGCGTGCTCTCTCTCTCCCTCTCAAATAAAATCTTAAAGACAAAACAAAAAAAAAACTGAGATCAGACCTTTTTTTCACCTCCTTCACATCTTATCCTTAAACTATTAATGTAGATCTTATGTTTATTAAATAAGTTAGAAATACATGATCTGTTACATCTCTCTAGCCCTTTCTAGTGCACAAAAATAAACAGATCTATTCTTTCTGTATCAATATTTTGGAAGTCAAAAAGATCAAAAGCATAGTGAAATTCAGCTAGTACAATCAACCTTGACATATTTTTTGCTCATGTATTTCTTAGGAAAGTCTGATTGAAGAGGAAACTGGGCAGAAGAGGATTTAAATCCGCTGAACCAGAGGGACTGACAACACAAGTGTAATTCTGATATTGAAACTTGTGACTCATTTGACATTTTTAAATTGTGCAAATTCCAGATATGCTTATGTTAAACTCACATATTTATGGCGAAGTACAGTGTTGTGAATAAAGTGGCCTAAATGTTAAGTTTTTCTCTAAGGCTGAACTCTGGTGGGGGAGGGGCCCTGTCCCTGCCCCAAGTACAGTCACCTACTGGGCCAGGCCCCAAAATCTGATTTAGCAACAGTTTTCTATTGGGGTTGTAGCTTGATTTTTGACTATACTCCATAGAAATGAGGTCACAGCCAAGACTTTCCCCGTCTTGGGGAGCAGTTCCCTTCCCAGACTGCTTTGCATCTCTTTGGAAGTCAACTGGAACCTGAGAGGTTCTCTCCTCCGGAGAGAGTAGGCTGTGCCGGGCCCTCGGTCCAGTGTTCCTGCTGCTGCACATGGTGTCCCTGCATTCACCACATCCAGTGGTGCACACGGAGGCTTGGGACCCAGGCCTGAAGGTAACAGCGTTCATCTGTCAGATCTTTTCGGTGCTCTCTCTTAGGAAAGGCTCTGGAGCATAGAATCTGCTGAAGACAGGATTCAGGTATTCCCATGCACCCTGGTCAAATACTGTGGCCACCATTTAACTCTCCACAGAGACCAGTGTCAGGCTTTGTGTGGGGACAGATGCATAAATGTTTTCATTAACCCTCACAGTGACCTTGGGAATTAACTATTCTTGTCTTCCCTTTAAAAGGAGACCAGGGTTTAAAGGACCTGCTCAGTTCCATTGGGGTACGTGGGCAGGGCTCCCATTTTGCACTAAAAGAACAGCGGATGGTATTAGACTCGAAAGTCAGTATGTATTTTTACTGGTTCTAGTTTGTTAGCTGGAGCTGAAAAGGGATCCTGGGGGCTCATGCATCGACCTCATTTACTGGTGATCATTTCACTGTGGGATCCCAGACACTATGAGACCAGTTCTCAATTATCCTCCCAACTTCCAAGTGACTATGAGACCATTTGAAAAACACTGATTTCAGGTAAATTGCCTGATGTCACAGTAACAAACAGCCCATGTTCACATGGCAATGATCGAGACCCTTTCCCTGTTTCACTCAGACAGACAGAACCTTCCTCCTCCTCTCCCTGCCCCTCCATCTCAAAAAGGGGCCCGTGTAAAGGAATTTGAACTGGGGTTGGAAACAGTCCACAGGAGAGAAAACCTTCCTTTTTAAATACAGATCATCATAGTGCAATAGATTCCCCAAATATCTCCATTTGAAGAATCACTAAAGCTCAAAGAACTTTCTTGCTCCCACTTCAATAAAATTAGGCAGAGATGTAGTTCACAACCTACTCTGTGGAACAAAAAGCAAAACTGCGTATTCTCCTTAATCAACACATACAAGGTGGGATGAGAAGCTTCCATCAGCCAATCGCTCAGTAACTTTTTTTTTGTTCCTAAAAACCTTTTACAATCTTTACATCAGTTAATGCATTAAAAGAACAGGGCAACACACTTATTCTTTTTTGAGATTTTATTTATTTGAGATACAGAGAGAGTGAGCAGGGAGCCCAACACAGGGCTCGATCCCAGGACCCAGAACTCATGACCCGAGCCTGAGGCAGACGCTTAAATCGACTGAGCCACTCAGGTGCCCTTCTCACAGTCACTTATTTTTTATGTTCTGCTGGAGTCCCAGTTTTCCAGAAGCTGTGGGCTTCCCCGGATGGCCTACAAAGATCCTCACTCAGCTGCCTGATGTGGGCGGCATCTGGTGGTTTGCAACTTACGTGAACATGTTGGGTACCTGATTCGCGAGTGGCCAACTGCCTAAGGAGAGTGAAAATGACCCCTTTCTTAACATTTTACACATTTTCCTGAACTTGAAGAACTCTCTACCTCATCAACGCAGCTTCAAAAAAAGGCCTGTAGCCTTTTGAAAGAAAAGGGTGGAGAAACATACCAAGAGCCCCCTTTTGTAAGTTCTCAAGTATATATGGCTTTAAATGATCAAGAGTCAAAAGAGTGGGTTTGAAGACAGACCATTTTAGCAAAGGGTTTAGAAGTTGCAGAATCCTGGAGAGGACTGGGAAAAAGCTGAGGATGTCTGTAAGAAATAACAGCGCTTACACATTTGGACAGCGAACAGTGTTCTAAAGTAGCATTTCTCACTAGGGACTGTAGATCCAAAAAGATTCCCCAGGCTTACTGATTCAGTCTTGGGGCCCCAAACCATTTGCATCTTTAACATGCCAGGGATTCTTATGTACACAGTGGGGGCATTATTGCCCTAAAAAGCAATAGATGGCAAATGTTTAAAAGCACTGGGACAGTTTTCTTTAAAGAAAAAAAAAAAAAAAAATCTTAGGCATAAGCCCAGGACTTCAAACAGTGTGACTATTCTAACTGAAATGTGGCCATCCCCACAGTATGACACACCACCAGCAGGGAGTTTAAGAAATGAACATCCATTTTGAACACCGATTTTCTCAAGGTGTTATTTCCTCTATTTTCAGCCTTGGCCAAAGTTTGGAATAACACCAGGGAGATGTAAAAAGAATATGGTGCCTGGGTCATGCTCCCCTCTCTTGGAAATTGATTTGATTGGTCTGGGGTGTGGCCTCTTTCCAGGTTATACTAATGTTCAGCCTCGTTTGAGAATCAGTTTCTATCCTTCTCAGGTAAGTTAGTAGCTACTCCTCTTTCATTTCCCTTTGCAGTAAACGAGTGAAGAAACAGCCCATTGTTTAAATGAACTGTTGTCAGAAACCATCAGCTCTGATGCCAGATGGATGGATGGAGGGGGACAGAAGTGAGGGAAGAGGAAAAGTTCTTCCTGTTCCCAGGTGACAATGATTCCATGACCCCATAGCATGAGTCTAAACTGACAGGACCTATAATGACAGGAGGCCAGAGGGACTGGGTGTGACGTGTTGCAAAGGAGGTGTCGATAAAGGAAAGTTCAGGAATGATTTCGTTTCGTTCACATAAGGGTAATAACAGACTAAACACGATAAACTTCAAAATACATTTTCATTTTTAATTTAAAAAATAAATAACAGCAAATCTGAACAAAATTTTTCTACCTCGATGCACATCTTCCTAATGGTCCATGATTGAAACCCAACTAGTTTACAAAATCCTGGCAACAGAGCCTTGACAAAGTCTGGATGAACAATTTACAAAATCTGACAAAAAGACGAGTTTTTAGGCAGCGTATATGGGAGACCAGCATTGGCTGGATTATAAGAATCAGCCTGAAATCATCAACTTAAAAGGAAAACTACCTTTTTCCTTTTGTAGGTTAGAACTATAGGCTCCAAGCTCCACCCACCCAAAGAGGAACTTACCTTCGCCAACTAACTTTAAAATCCCACTCGGTCAACGGCATGTAGGCCTAAAATCCACCGTATGGAAACTTCATTGCCTTCAGATTCCCTTTCTCATTCACTTAGAATCAAAGAAAGGAAGGGCCGCAAGTATTCTAAAAATCACGTAGCCTTGGATATAGATGTTTTACATCAGAAAAATGAGGCCCAGGGACGGACTATAAATTGACTTGCCAAAAGGTCCATGGTCTTGACTGTCCTGCTCTGTGTTGATGGTGGGCTTTCCCCCTTTTTTCATTATACCCCAGCAGCAAGAAGAAGGAAATTACAGCTATGAATAGCCTTCTGAATGCCTGTTGCAGAAGGACAGCATGGACATGAGGGAACCTTCCAGGGCTCTGGAGGCAGTCTAGGTCTGGATCTGAGGGTGTGACACGGTGTATGACTCGGTAAAGTTTCATCCATTTGTACCCCCAGGATTTGTGCACTTGACCATATGTATGTTAAGACATGCCTCAATTTTAAAGGGAGAAATCACCCCCTGATCTGGGGGCCAGTAGAGGGGAAGGCCTCCCACAGCATGGAAAAAGTTAACAAAGGTGATTGTTATCTCAAATTCCTCTTTATTTCTCTTTAGCCTCAGAGATCTGCAGGGTGACCGCATTTTTCATGGGTCTCCCTGACTGCAATTCTGGAATCCAGATGGGAGGTGGAAAAGGGAAGGCCTATGGCCCAGCAGCCTTACTGAGGGTTTCGCTTTCCCCTAATCCCACTCTCTTGCTAACCGCACAGCACAACACAGTCTCCGCATACCAGGCTGTTCCCACTGAACACACTGAATTGCCATATCCTGCAGGTCTTGTATGGTGTCTGGATTTCAATAAAAGCTTAATAAATGTTGAATAAAGTGATTCTTAGGGGAAAAAAAAATCTCAAAGGAAGACAAGTCACCAGAACAGAGAGAGAGAAAATAAGGGACTAAAAAAAAAAAAAACCAAAAAAACCCATAAACTAATAACCACACAGTTGTGACAGTTTGAGGACTACTTTCAATGCCTTTCAAAATACTCCAGAGTTCTTAACAAGGAAAATAAAGACCAGTTCTTTCCTCATTTATTCCCGGCCCCTTATCTCTCCCATATGTAAGGTAATCATAAGGCATTTCTTTGCAGTCTTCCTCTTTGACTTCAGGACATGATTTATCATCTTTTGTCAAACATGCCTCTGACCCAGTGGCTTCCCCCATGTTCCCTGTAATCTGGAATCCACACCGTTACCTAGAATCCTTTCTATTTGGGCAGGAGAGACCCAGTATTTCCATTAAGGTGGAAGGGGAATCAGATGGAAAAATATGTTCTGTTAAAAAAGGGAAGGTATTCGGGCACTGGAACATCAGACTTCCCCAGCCCCTGATCAAAGCCCACACTACAGAACTCACTTGCACTGCTCTGAAGGGACATGCCTGAGGTTTGGTATTTTTGTGACCAGCTTACATCTTCCTATTTTCAAGGCCAGACTGAAAAATAGGGTCAGGGAGGCCTACAGATCCTCACTAGCCAGTGGGCGAGGCAACTTCTCAGCAGCTGCTCTGGGCTCCACAGAAAGCCCGTATAACCTTTCCATTCCTTCTCATCGTTGCGTTCTCTCCATGAAAATCCTTTTTGGTTCTTATTAACATTTCTCCTTTAGTCATAAATAATTATGTAAGAGACTCCAAAAGATGTCATCTTTTTAAAACGGACTGTATGTGCTCAGTTAACTTGCACTCACTTTCCAAATGACCTCAAGCTGGGGGGAGAATATCAATAATGCTCTTAAGAGAATTCCAGATCTTACTCAGGCCGAGCAGAGGAAAGGAAAGACCACTTCGTACCTACTATTTCACACAGTCAATCTCATTGAACCTTATCTGTGCGGCAGGACCTCGTCCCCATTTCGGAAAGGGAAGAAATGAAGGCTCAGACGATGGCAAGGAGTTGAGGGAGTTTGCAAAGTTAACAGGTGACACAGCTGGGATGGTTGGAGACCAAATGGTTTACTTCAAAACCCAGCTTCTCTCTAGTTTACCCCCTTGAAGGTTGCCCTGAGTGGAAGTGGAGAACCGCCTTTCGCTCACCACTTCTAAATCCACACTTTAACTGCTTGCGGGATGCTGGCCACGCCTCTGAGGTTTGTATGTCCCTGACTCTGTGAAGCAGGAGTACGTCTTTTCTGAGAGGGGTGGTGTTGAAACAGGTATACCAAGAAGCAGGCCAGCAAATCCGGATTCTTGGAGGTGAAATCTTTCTTTTCTCTACCTCAGGGCAGGGTGGGTGGGGAAGAAGACTGGGCCCAGTTACGGAAGGGACCCCTGTGAGCTTCCCCACATGCTGACCTAGGGGACCCATAAAAAGCTTTCTACTTTGCCATATATGTCAAAGTAGTATAGAAACATCTGGGACATTTCCACCGTCATCCCAACTAGGGGTAAGAATTCATCACGGAGTTCGTCAGGGCTGTCTTCTCGATCTAAGTGTTACCTGGGGATAGAGCCTCAATTAGCAAGCTGGGTTGTTAGTAAGAATCTGTAGGCAGATTTTCTGTGTTTAGCTTCAGTTTCCTTGTCTACAGAACGAGGGGGTTGTTTGTATGACCTTTAGTGAGGGCCCTTCTAGCTCAAAACGTCTCTAACCTTGTGTGGTTCGTGTAGGTGTACGTAATATCCGATCATCTGAATCAGCCCATTTCTTCTTCCGAAAGGACTATGGACTTAGTACCATGAACATGTAATCAAATTAATTCCACAATCACGAGGAATAAATAATCAAAGGGAGATATTGCACTATATTCTCCAGGGTAATATCGGGTGGCAGAGAGGGGTCACTGAGCCAACCAAATGGGATCTGGAAGAGAAGCTGTTGAACCCGGGCTTCGAAGTCCCTTCTGTCCAGTGATGTGAGCTCAGAAGAGGTAAAGAAAGAGCTTCGAGGGAGTCTGTAGCAAGAAGGAGTGACACAGTGTGGTGAGGGCTGGTTAGTTGAGAGTGTAAGGGACTCCCGGGAGGGTTCCTGTGCCACACGTAGCCGGTCTGGGGTGGGGGTGGAGGGGGGCGTGGCAGGAGCTCAGACCCCACAGTCGAGTCCATGGTTTTTCACCAATGATAGCTATTCATACGTGAAAGTTACCAATCTTCATTACAAAGATGTTCTTTTCCTTAAAGAAGACATAAGCAGACATCAGAAAGGTAGGATTATTTCAACTACTGAAGTACTTGAGGCGCCTCTTTTCCAATGTTATTCGGGACACGGTGTGTCCATGTGAGAAAATCAAGTCTCAAGCAGAGCTTTTCACAAATCCTTCCAAGGTGCAGGTTCCTGGGGTTGCTCAACAACCTCCACAGAAGAATGTAGCCAGGCGTCTGTAGGCCGCAGCAGCTCTGGGCTGGAGGCTGAATTTAATAACGGTGAGAGAGATCTCTCCTTTGAGAAAGACAGAGGACATGACCAATTCTGGAATTCATGCGGACTGGAGTGGGGGCGGTGCTTAGGCTTCCTTCACAGTAGCCTTTCAAAGAACCACCAGTTTGGAGGCGGCACAGCTGGCCCCAGATCAGGAAGGGGGTCAGCAAGGAGCCCTGGGGAACGAGGACAGGGACTCCTCTTAGGCGTCAGCTGTTCAAGGTGTTCAGAGTTCTGGAGACCTGGCAAGACCCTTAGTGGGATCCGGGCTCAGAAGCAAGGAAGCCAGATTTGCGGGCTTTGGGAGGAGGTGGAGGTGGGCATTTGGCTTCTCTGCGGACCGGCAGCGGAGGGGCAATCTGAGGGAGCAGACACAATGAGAGTCAAATGAATCCCATCTTTCCTCCTGACTTGGTTCTCCTCCACATTTCCAACAAGTGCTTTAGCTTCTAACTGATCTATCTATGCAGCCTTGGCCAGGAGAGAAGGGAAACAACACTCATTTAACTTCCCTTGTTCTCCTTGGGTTAATCAGAGGATACCCCAAAATGTTATCTCCCCAACACCTGGGTTCTTGGCATATCTACAGAATGCACTGAATATTTGTTGAAGAATGCAGGACGAGGCCATTCCAGAATGACTGTCACTCATCCAGAAGGAGTACAGTCTTCACATGTGAACCAGAACTCACTGATTTCACTCACCTGTACCCAGGGTGAGGTACAAAGAAGAGCTCTACCTTTGATCTGACAAAAAGGTCTGCTTGCATTTCGTTACTTCCCATTAGAAACTCCCTTATATGTTTTATGGTTTCAGGCATGAGTCAAGAAGTGATTAGAGTGACAAATCTATGGGAAATGTGCCTAGCAAAAAGCTTGGAAAACCAACACTGTGCTCCCGGGAGTGGGGTGCTCTGACCCCAGTGCGGTTGTTCCCTACCTCTGTGGAGTTCCTCTGGCCGCTCTCGTAGGGCTTGCTTTTGGGGGGAGGGGGAGGCGGGACAGTAGTAGTCATCAGCCCATCTGTCTGCAAAGACGGGGAGCCTAGAAATGATACAAAGTAGATGAAGGCAGAGAGAAGAATTCATCAAGGAATCTTAATAGAACCTCTGCTTGCCATTTTAACACCTAAACCAACCTGGCCAATCAAATGGCTAAGGCGATATTCTATAGTTTCCACGGACAGAATGGAAACAACCTCTCGGCCCTCATGACAAATGCAGCGCTGTTTACTCACCAGAAGGTTTCATAAAAAGTTCTGAAGTAAAAATCCCCCTTTTTTTTTTTTTTTTTTTTGCTTATGATTTGTACTATTAAGCTGGAGATGAAGACATTTTCTAGAACTTAACGTACGACTCTATCTTCTGATCTACCCCAAGTACTTTGAAAAAATGTCTGTCACAAAGTAAGCGGTCAACAAAGACTGGTTAAATTTAACTGAGCTGTCTCAGTTTGATCATTTAAAGGATGCGATATCCACTTCCTCCAGGAAAACTTACTTCATTATCTCTAGCTCTTGGTTGACTCCCATGGCCCATGGGCATGATGACTTACCCCTCCATTCTTTGTACCAAGGGTACCTTGGAATTCTTCTCAGGCCTTGTGCATTGCTGATTCCCCAGGCCTGACTGTAAGCAGTATATGGAACAGGCCTATTTCTTGTCCTTTTTTGGGACCCTTTCCAATACCAAGTACAAGGCTACCTACCCAGTAGTTTTTAAGTTACTTGCTTCCTGTCTGGTCCCCATCTAGCTCTACTTCATTATACCTTCATAAATGGAAAAGGAGTTGTAAGACCCTCTGGGTCACTCTACAGAGAAGGGTAATGAGTCCTAGCAACTCAAAGACTCCTGGTTGGACTCTAATTTTGCTATACCCACCACCATGGAATGAGCCAACTTTATAATAACCTCATATACTGTGTGGCTGTTCCAGCTAAATATTGCCCAGATCCATACACATACTCTGTTCCCTACTAAAGCGAAGAGAAAGTATATGTCTGTATCTTTCTAAATCTCTCTCTCTCTCTCTCTCTCTCTGTATGTGTGTGTGTGTGTATAACTTACTTAGAGTCCTGGTAGCTTTAGGAGTGAGTGGAGGTGGGCTCAGGGGTGTTGACTGAGGAGGTGAAGAACCATGAAATGGCGTCAGCCGATTGTCCGACAACTGGAGACTCTTTGGTCTTTGTGCTTTTCGGGCTGGGCTCTGGTGGGGGGTGGGGCACAGCAAAACAGACTCAAGTGAGAAAGGCTGAGCTCGTCAATGCTCCCAACACCTTGCCTGCTGAGCACCGACTTGTCAGAGAGACCCATTCCAGGGGCCACTGTTGAGTTTCCCGCCCTGTCAGGTGGCGAGCCGGCAAAGGCCCTGACAGGGTGTCACTGAAGCAGACGTTCTTTCTTGGCTGGCCATGAGCCTGAGTCTGACCACAGTCAGACTGTGTTGTCTGGGTTGGAAAGGAACCACCTGTGATTCTCAGGGAAGGCTGGTCTTGCCGCACTTAACAACATGATGTGGCTCATGGACGAAGAAAAAGCACTTTTTTTTTTAAGTTAAAAGAAGAGAAATGATAATGCACTGACTCATGGAACATGGTGGTGAGAACCACAGCTCTGAGCATCAGCCCACGTGTTTACATTGAGTACAAGATCTTGCACCACTACTGGTTTAGACACTCAAATTTGCCCTATGTGCTTTTTTTTTTTTTTTTTAAAGCACAGTGTAAGATCAAATGCTGTCACATTTGATCTCATGCCAGGTCCTGAGGAAGCACGGCCGGACTTCCACCTGGTGACTCACGGCTCTGTGGCGAGTGGCAAGTGTCTGCACAGACAGCACTAGAGAACCTCTGGCCCTTGTTTGCTTGCCACACCCGCCCCCCTCAACCCCGACCCCTTGTTGCTGTTTTTTGTGTGTGTGTGTGTATTTTTTTACCATCAGATCAGGTTCTGGTGCTTTCTCTGCAATGACCTGGGACTTGCTGAGGCTCCAGTCTTTTCGCTTGAACTTGCTGATCCGGTTCTCACTGTCCTCTTTGAGGGGCAGATCTTCAACTCTAGCACCTGACGAAGCCCTGCGCTCCAGAAGTGGCTCCAGGATTGACCTACCAGCCAAGAACAAGGACAGGATCACAGAACACTGACCACTGGGCAGTCAGAATGTACTCCCACAAGACAGGGGTTAGGACTCCTCAACCCCATCCTGACCTGTGACTCCCCTCTCAGGTTCTAAATCTGAATTTCTAACTGCCAATTAGACATGCTGAGGTATCCATGAAACGAGACCATCCAAGTACGAAAGGAAAATCTCTGAACGTGCATCTTCTCGCAGGAAGAGAAAGGCTTACTACATCTATAGGCAAAGATAGAATTCATACAGTAAAAGATGAATAAGCAGCTTCAGACACTAGAGAACAGCACATGACCCAGAGACCGCCTGCGTTCAGATCCTACCTCTACTACTTCGTGGGTGATCTTGGGCAGAAAATCTTTTCATACCTCAACTTCCTTATTGTGAAATGGGGACAACAAATAAAATCTTTCTTTTTCTAAAGATTTTATTTATTTATTTGACAGACAGAGATCACACGCAGGCAGACAGGCAGCAAAGAGAGAGAGAGGAGGAAGCAGGCTCCCCACAGAGCAGAGAACCTGACGTGGGACTCGATCCCAGGACCCTGAGATCATGACCTGAGCTGAAAGCTCACGCACTGAGCCAGCCAGTCACCCAATAAAGAAATAAAATCTTAAAAAAAAAAAAAAAAAAGACACAACATGACACAAAAGTCTATAACTTGACTCCTAAGCACGAGGACATGTAAGACAAACCCAAAGGGAAATTCTACAAACCAACTGGCCTGTAATCTTCAAAAAGGTCAATACAATGAAAGACAAACTAAGGAAAGGCCAAACTACTTTAGATTAAAGAAGAATAAAGGGGTGTGGCCCAAAGCAGCACGTGACCCCAACTGGGTTCTGTACGAGAAATTGCTCCGTATGAGATACATAGTGGGACAACTGACAAAACTGGAATCCGGGGCAGAGTCTGCAGTGTTGCATCAACACCAAATCTCCGAACGGACAGGCTGCAGGCAGGATGCAGGGATGTAAGACAAGGTGTTTGCCTTACAGCATAAAGCACACAGTCTCCTCTCAAATGGTAGAACGGGGCTGCTGGGGGACAGGCAGAGAGGGAGTGACTGAAGCAAAATGTAAAACCAAGGAGGGTTAAAAAAGATACGAGACCTTTATGGTGGGTATTGCTTAGACCTTCTGAATGGGTATTCAGTGAGCCCTGGTTTGTTTAAAAATTTAGAGTTTTGCTCCACAAAAACAGAAAGCTTAGAGAGATGAATAGGCAGAGGACAGAGGATTTTCAGGGCAGTGAGATTATTCTGGATGATACTGCAATGGTGAATACTTGTTACCATACATCTGTCCAAACCCACAGAACGTACAACAGCAAGAGGGGACTTGATTGTCAACTACGGGCTCCGGGCAACGGTCATGTGCTAATGTGAGTCCATCAGTGGTAATGAAGGCACCACTCTGCAGTACGTTCTTAATCTTGCTGTGAATTCAAAACTGCTCTAAAAAAGATAAAGTCCACAAAACACACACACGCACACACACAAAAGCTGTGGCATAAAATAAGACAACATAAAAACACAGATGGGTTCTTAGTATTTAAAATAAATAAATAAATAAAAGCTTCTGGATGCCTGGGTGACTCAGTCAGTTAAGCGTCTGCCTTCGGTTCAGGTCATGATCCCAGGCAGGGTCCTGGGACAGAGTCCCGCATGGGGCTCCCTGCTTGGCGGGGAGCCTGCTTCTTACCTCTCCCACTCCCCCTGCTTGTGCTCTCTCTCTGATACTCTCTCACACTGTCTCCCCAATAAGTAAGTAAAATCTTAAAAAATAATAATAACAAAAATAAAACAAAAGCGTCTATTTGGCAGAAAGCATCCTTAGTAAAAAAAACTATCTGCTGGATATATGTTAGATGGCAAATATCTTTGATATATAAGAAACTTTTACAAATAAACAAAAGAATGAGTAGTTCAATTTTTTAAAATTGTCAAAGGATAAATAGGTATTTCATGAAATGGAAATCCAAGTAAGTTTAAAAAGTTAGTGTCAAAAGTTATTAAATACTCAAATATTAAGATATTTGGAGGGGCCAAAGACTTTTTTACATTTTATTATGGAAAATTTCAAACGTATAAAAAAGTGAAGAGAATGCCCATGTGTGTACCACTCAGTGTCAATAATGATAACTCACGGCCAGTCGGCTTTCTTATGTACACCTAAGTCACATTCCTCGCCCCTCATTGGATCACGTGGCAGTGATCAGATGTTATTATCATCTCATTCATAAATATTTCAGTGAGGCAAGGACTCACTTCATAACATAACTACACTCCCATCATAAGTCATACAAAAAGAAATAACTTCTTCATTTCACTGAACATCCAGTGCTTACATTTCCTGATGTCTTATAAATTGTTTGGAAGTGGCTTGTTTGAGTCAAGATCCGAACAGGATTCATTCACTGTTTGGTTGATATGCTTCTTAAGCCATTTTAAGCTTTTAATGTGCATGGTCCCCCTTTCTGCAAAGTGTGGGTGCCTTGCTCCGTGAAGGTAAGGGGAAAAAGTCCCAGGGAAGTCTGACCGAGGCTGAGCCCATGCAGTCACACTGGGAAATGCCTGTAGATAGTGTTTTTTTGTTTTTTAATTTCAAATTATTCTCTCCTTTTCTATTGCTTTTTAAAAGACTGCATGTATGGGCTTTTAATTTTTTGACATTTATCTTTCTTTTTTTTTAGAGAGAGAAATCATGTGAAGGGTAGGGAGGGGTAGAGGGAGAGCTAGTGAAAGACCCTTTTTTCCCTAATATTTATTTATTTGAGAGAGAGAGAGAGAGCATGCAAGCGGTGGTGGCAGGGGGGAGAGGGAGACACAGACTCCCTGCTGAGCAGGAGCCTGATGTGGGTACTCAGTCCCAGGATGCCGGGATCATGACCTGAGCTGAAGGAAGATGCTTAACCAACTGAGCTACCCAGGCACCCAAGGGAGAGAGAGAATCTTAAGCAAGATTCCTTGCTCAGCATAGAGCCCAACGCAGGGCTTGATCTCACGACACAGGGATCATGACCTGAGCTGAAATCAAGAAGACTAGACGCTTAACTCACTGAGCCACCCATACGCCCCTCTGGTATTTTTCAATTATTAATATATTTATGGGGAAGCCACTCGCTATTATTTATCTTAAATCTGTACTGGTTAAAGAAACATCATAGAACCAAATTCCAAGAAAGACTAATTATTCTTAATTTTTTAAAAAGAATTTATTTTTTAAAGTAATCTCTACACCCAACATGGGGCTCAAACTCACAGCACTGAGATCAAGAGTTGCACACTCCTCTGCCTAAGCCAGCCAGGTACCCCAAGACTCTAATTATTCTTAAAACCAAATAAGCCAAATCAGACAAACAAACAAGATCACCTCAAACAGTAATTGGTCAGGGAGAAAGGAAACAACCACCCCAGATTCTATGGAATCAATTATGACTTTGCCTCAGAGACTACAAATGAAGGCTGTGGGTCACCAGGTTGCCTGTCAAAAATACAAGTTTCACTAGGGCCTAGTTAGGAATCAAACTGAACTATAGTGACTACAATGTGGTTCCCCCAGGGTCATGTCATTTTTTTCTTATAATGATTACTTCAGTGATTTTCCTGAAATATCAAAGATTAGTTTTTTTCTGAACAATTTTGTTCTGGGGCCCCAACTTTGCTGGTGTTCTAAGCATGTACTTAGTTGGCCTTCTGGTTTCCCTTAACACAATGAGCTGTGTTTCAAAAAGCAATTCTCTTTCTGTGCCTTGGCCTACCATTTGCCAGATAGGATGGATATGTTCCGCTTCCCTCTGATAAAGAACTGGCCCTTTACCGATGGCACCCCCAATAATCATCATGAAAGTATTCATGAATATTGTGACATGACACTGGGAATGGGAGACTCGGGGCCATTAGCTGATAATCAGTTTCAGATGCCTTAAAGAAACATCTTAAATAACGTTAGGAAATAGTATCAATGGCTTCTTACTCATTGAGGAAATCTGGGCAAGGTCAATAACCCACCTTGCCTGGGTTGCGGCATGAAAAGGGCCCCGCTCACCGGTTCTCTGCTTACTGCCCTGTCAGCAATCATGGTGCCCTAATGCTCAAAACCTGTTTCAAACCTTTTCTGTTTTTGATTGAGACCACTGATTTAAGAAAAGAGTCTTACTGAACAGAACTTTCATGCTTTCCATAGAGTAGGTAGGATCTCTTAATAAATAAAAAATAAAAAGAGAAAAATAAATGAATTAAGGACTATCTAATATTTATTATGCTAAGGATTAAAAACAGTGCAAATACCCAGTCCTCCTATTGCATGTGGCACTGCATATTGTGAACTGTTTGACATCAGAACTGTAATGAATTTCGTCCTCTGACTAGGGAATGTATGCTTCTAGAAAATGCATCCTATACCTGGTCTTAACCAAAAGAGCTCAAGCAAGGATATGAGAATGTATCCTAAATAATTAGAAAGCTATCTGTACACATACGCTCAGTACAATTCTTAACAATAAAACTGCATTTTATATTGACAGAGGCTAAATGTTTTCATATGAAATTCATAATGAACTTTGATGATTACTTGTCCAGAAATAATGACACGGCTTAAATATTTGATAGTAAGAGAAGGCTTAATTATGGCGCATTCATAGGATGCAATGGTATAAATAGCCATCAAAAATGCTAATAAGGGCACCTGGGCGGCTCAGTCAGTTAAGTCTCGACTTGATTTCAGCTCAGGTCATGATCTCAGGGGCGTGAGACAGAGACCCGCACAGGGCTCTGCACTTGGTGGGAAGTCTGCTTGAGGATTTCTCTCTCTCCCTCTGTCCCTCCCCTGCTCACACACGCCCTCTCTCTCTCTAAAGAAAAAAAAATATTCATCGTGTATATTAAATTAAACAGCAGGTTACAAAATGGTACCTACGATGCTTTTCCAATTCTATAAAATGTATATATGCTTTTCTTGTTCTATTACTAAACCTTAACAGTGGTTACTTCTGAGTGATAAGTATCTGTCTTTTAAAAAGAAAAATTGTACTTTGAAAAATTTCTACGTGTACATAGATTAAGTATATAATTAGCAAAATACTGTTTTCAAACAGTATTTTTAAACAGAAAGAACACAACTACAAATTCAGTCCTTCAAAATATCTTAAATTTGAACACATGAGAAGGCAGTCCATGTTTTTGGCAAAAAAAGTTTGACATAAAAAAGCCATCAGTCCTCCCAAAGTTAGTCCAGAAGTTTCACATGATCCCAGTAAAAATAGCAATAAGATTCCAGACAAGTGAATCCACAAGTGAGCAATGAGTAAAAGTAGCCAGATAAATTCTGAAAAGGATAACTAAGAAAGAAAAGCCTTTCAAATCTACAGTAGTTAAAAACCACAGAACACTAGCGCATGAACACCCAGGGAGATCAAAGAAATGGTGGGGTGCGGGGAGTCTGCAAATAGATTATAGACATACAGGAACTTGATTTTGTAATGAGGCTGGCATTTCAAATCAGTAGAGAAAAGATGGTTTGCTCACTAAATGTTACAGGGATAACTGAGTAGTTATGTGGCTAAAAAAAAAAATTGACTTTACACCTTACATTTTATACTCATAAATTTCAAAGAATCAGATTTAGTGGTGAACCGTGAAACTCTAAAATTAGTTATTTGCAGCCTTAGAGTGGGGAAGGCCTTTAATCATAATATAAAATCCAGAAGTCATGAAATACAGCATTAATTTATTGGACTGCATTAAAAAAAATCAGCAGAACTAAAGAAAAAATGAGAAGCAAAGTCAAAAGACAGAGGAGAAACTGGAGGACATATTTCAACTAATATTACAGACAGAGCAAACGCGGCAGAAACATGTACCCAAAATACTTCACCATAGTTTGCAGAACATAAAATACAAACAGCTACTAAAGAATGCAAAGAAGCTCAGATTCACACAAAACAAGAGAAATAAAACCAAACCAAAATGAAACCCTATACCATGAAAATACTCTCCACCTAGCAGATTGGCGAAAATTAAAAAGGCTGATAATGCACAATTTGGGGTGTGCGGGTGACAAGGAACCCTTCTATGTTGCTGACAGGACTCTAAATTGGTATAATGTCTACAGAAGTCAGTCTAGGAATAATTTCGAAAACCGCAACTATAAATGTTCGACAAAGCAATTTCACTTCTGGAATTTTCCTCATTTGGATATACTTGTATATTTACAGAATACATTGTTTTTAAGCTTCTGCCCTGCCACCCTGCTGTGACAGCCAAAGGCTGACGTCAACTAAACATCCACCAATAGGCACCCATGGAACGTGTCAGGGTGCGGCCATATCACAAGATGTCTGTGGCTCAAAGGAAAGAGCAGGCTCTTGACATTCTGAAGTGGAATGATTTTCAAGACATAGTAAGTAAAAAAAAGCAAGCTAAACAAAGTATTACGTTTCCATTCATACAAAAAAGAAAGTGTGAGGAAGAATATATATTTAGGTATTGCCTGCGTATGTATGAAGAGCTGTTGGAAAGGCACCGAGAACCTGAAGGCTAACATCGTTTGCCTCCACAGAGGGGTGCTGGTAAGGTAGGAGTCAAGGACCAATAATGGGTCATTTTTCATGAGTGATCCCTTTTGTACCTCGGAACTTTGTATCATGTAATTATATTACCTATTTACAGAGTAAGTATAAATTTTAAAATTACTTTTGAAAATCAATTCAGATGAAAAAAATCAGACGTGAGAGGATGGGTGACAGGATGTGACAGGATGAGGGGTGATTATGATCCCATCTGTCATAACTATTATTATGTAAATCATGATCTTCCTCAGGAGGAAGACAATGAGAATGATCCAGAGAATAAGCACCACATACTCTGAATTACTGCCCTTATGAGGGTGATGCGTCCACATGGATCACAGCTCCTTTGGTGACACAAGGCAAAGGGTAGTAAGGAGACAACCCGCCCTCCCCTCTTCCCAGCAATTAAAAATTGAATTCTTACCCATCAGATCCTGGTCTGGAAGGAGCATTATCAGATGAGTTAGAAGAGGTGGAAATGACCGAGGAAGTCACTGAGGTGATGGACAATCTCCGCAGCGTGGATGACATGATGTAGGGTAGTACGATAGACCCCGTGCGGCTCTGCTTCCTCTCAGTCAAGGTGGGTGGCTGAAGGACACATGGCATCGCACGGTGAGCTCCCTGGGACTCAGCCAATACGCTGGCTCACGCCCCCCTCCGCTTGTGGCCGGTGCTGTTTGTACTGGCGGGTACCCACGGCTGCCTCATTTGTTAAATAATGCAACTCCTACTATTCTTAATTATAAACACAGCTAGGTTAAACCCACCTTGTTAAGACTAGAGAAAAGCTCCCCCTAATTTGCAGCCAGTCACATAAGAGAGGAAAAGCAAGCTGCCCGTCACCCCCAACAGAACTGCAAAACCCTCGGTCTGCTTCTCCACTTTAGCTTCTTTCAGCAACTAAAAAAACCAGAATGCTGGCCAAATAGAAAGCTTTAGATTCAAACTATAGACCTGACACTTAAGAAGTGAATGGTAAAACTTAAGAAGTAAAGGAACAGCGATCTACTTTCATTAGAAATGTCTCCACAAGACTGACTGCCCCAGTAGGCCACCATACCAAATCTACAGGGAAACACTGGCCTGGATCTCATAAAAACCAGTCATTAGGTGAACGTCATAGTCCTTCCATCAGGAACTGTGTAGAGACAAATGTTCCTTGGAAAAAGCTCTTAACTGGCAGTAGGTCAGGAGGTTAGACATGCCTGAGGACCTGGTTAGAAGCAATAATCACAAAGATACTCCGGAGAAAAAGGGAGTGAAGATGGAGGTGTGGGATGGGGGGCAGGAGGACATGAAAGGAAATTCAGAGCTTTGGTCCAAAGAAAGAATTTGAAAATCAGGGGTTCAAGAGTGAGACAGCTAGAAAGCAAGGTGAACTCATATTAAAAAGAGCAGATGGGCGCCTGGGTTGCTCAGTGGGTTAAAGCCTCTGCCTTCGGCTCTGGTCATGATCCCAGGGTCCTGGGATCGAGCCCCACATTGGGCTCTCTGCTCAGCAGGGAGCCTGCTTCCTCCTCTCTCTCTGCCTGCCTCTCCCCCTACTTGTGATCTCTGCCTATCAAATAAATAAAATCTTTAAAAAAAAAAAAAAAGAGCAGAAATGGGGTGCAGTCAGTTCAGCATCTAAACCTTGGTTTTGGCTCAGGTCACGCCCTTAGGGTCATGGAACCCAGCCCTGTCTCAGGCTTTGCACTCAGTGGGGAGTCTGCTTCTCTTGCTCTCTCCCTCTCCCTCTCCCCATGCTTGCACACATGTGTGTGTGCTCTCTCTCAAATAAATAAATCTTAAAAAAAAAAAAAAGGAAAAATGAAAAATGAAGCTGGATCCAAACATTCAATCCACTGTTGGAGAGAAAGGGTTACTTTTTATTAATGTGGGCATATTTTATGCCCAATGTGGCTCAAACTCATGACCCCCAAATCAAGAGTTGCATGCTCTTGCAACTGAAGCCAGGCGCCCGGAGAGAAAAGGTCATGGAGCGCATGCGCCAACCCATCCAACCTCTCAGGAAAGAGACAACCGTCACTGGGAGAAATGTGTTGGAACTGTTAGAAAAAATGATGAAATCAGCTATACATGCATTGTGAAACGCACTTCACTGCCATTCTTTCTCCCCTTCAAAGGTGTCCATGGTGGAAACTTCTTATCAAAATGAAAAATAAAAACTAGGAAAAACACAGAACTGGGCCAGACAGGACAGGAATAACCAGGTCTGGGAGCAGGAACGCCCCAACTGCTATTAGAGTAGCACGCACGCACTGAGGGCCCAGAGCAGCGGCCTCAGCACATCCCCGCCCTGGCCCCCGGAACACGTAAGAAAGGCCAACCCTCAGGCCACCAGAGTTCCTATCAGCAATTCTGGAGCTGGGGCCCAGCAATCCGTGTTTTCACAAACCTTCCAGATGGTTCAGATAGTCAGTCAAGTCTAAGAACCCCTATGCAGCATGTCAGCGTTGGAAGGTCACCGAAAGCATGCCATGTCCTCTCCTCCCCTCCCCCAGCATTTCCATGCCCTGCTTCTGTTATTCTGACTCATGAAAAACTTCAATATAAAAAATAGTCAAAGACCGAAAAAGCCAACCGGCCACTTAGAGCCTACCAGGGTTATAACACCGTAGAGCTTCTCCACTTTCTCCTTGAGTTCCCGAAAACAAGAAGACAAGCGGTCATGCAGCGGCTTTAGCTGCTCTGTGAGCTTCTCCCCGTGGATGCGGATCCCCTCCGTCAGCAGAGGCATCTGGAGAAAAGGGCGTGGCAGGAAGGAAATATGGTTTAGGAAGAGGGATCCTTCAGATGTGGAGACTAGGGAAGGATGGGCGGGGAGACAGGTAAACTGGCAGACACAGCACATACCACGTGAGAATGCTACTTCTCCATGGGGGGCGGGGGCACTGGACGCCCTTGGGTCAAGGATGCAGAGAAATACACAGGAGGCAAGCAGGCCCTAAACCGGGGAAGCGCTGCCAGCCAAGACCTGAGCCTGGAGGCTTCTCTGTGGCTGACCAGCTGCTAGTTTTAAAGCTGAGGCTGAATTGGATGGCTGCCTTTTGTCCCACTGTTCGCTGAAGTAGCAAGAGAGAGAGACAGAGAGAGAGAGAGAGGGAGGGACTGAGGCCAACATGTCTCGGCTGGATCTGATTTGGGGACTCAAGTCTCTTCTCTAGGAAGGTCTCTCTCGGCACTGTAGAGTCTAACAGAACGCTATTCCCAGGGTCCCTCGGCCAAACAATGAGACAAACTGTGATTCCAAAGGTTACAAAACAAAACACCCTAAAAGTGGGCTTGTGGATTTAAGCCCTAGAGAATATGCTGGCATTGGGCCACACCCCTCCCATGACGCCTACCTGCAGCGCTATCAGTCGCTTCAGCAGCTCAATCTTCTCCTGGTCTTCGGGATGCTCCTGCAAGTACTTTTCTGTAAAAAAAGCCTAAAAGGGGAGCACATGCGAGTGTTAATTAGAACACGTTCCTGTATGTGTACTGACCCTCGAGGGAGGAGAGGGGAGCCTGAAAGGGTGAAAAATGTATTCTGTTCCCTCTGCTAAACCTGGAACGACTAAGTGAATACTCACCCCTTTCCTGGACAGCCCTTATGCCACCGTGAACAATTCTAAAGGACTGTGCTATTTTGTGGTCTTTCTGGAACCGTGCAATGCCTAATCACAGTACCCTCTCCACAACCACCACACACACACACACACACACACACACACACACACACACACATCAAACCAATTAACTCATGACATTCAGTGAGGTAACTTTCCCAAAGGACTAAGGCCAATGACAGTATCTAAAGGTTATTTATTAGATTAAGTGTACAGATATTATAATAAGGAAAAAGCAAAAAATTAGCAGGCTGTATAGGGAAAACAGCAGGCTGTATAGGGAAAACAGTTTTCCTGCTTTATCATCTGTTATAGGCTGTATCACATTTTTTTCCTGTATTAAGTAAAGATGGCTTTCTTATTACTCATTTACCCAAAAGGCTTTTTTGAGGACAACATGAGATACTGATGTGAAAATGTTTTATAAATGTATTTTTTTTAAAGATTTATCTATTCATTTCAAAGCCAGGGAGTGAGCGTGAGTGGGGGGCGGGGCAGAGGGAGAGGGAGAAGCAGGCTCAGCAGGGAGCCCAACACAGGGCTCAGGGCTCAGTCCCAGGATATGGAATCAACCTGAGCCAAAGGCAGATGTTTAACCTACTGAGCCACCCAGGCGTCCGATTCAGTATATTTGAAGTCCTCATAGAAAGGGGAGAACAAGGAGAACATGGTCTGTAAGCCTAGGAATATGCACCAAAGGTTGCCGGCAACCCCTCGGAAACTGGGAGAGAGGCGGGACCAGATCCTTCCTCACAGCCCGCTGAAGAAATCGACCCTGCTGACTCCTGGATTTCAGGCACCTGGGCTCTGGGACTGTGAGGCAATCTATTTCCACTGTTTTCAGCCACCCTGTGTGTGCCTTTGTTCTGGAAGCCCCAGTGAGCGAACACAAGGAGGGATACAAATACATGCGGGCCTGCAGGCTGAGTTTCACAAACAGGAAGCAGGACAGCACATCCGGACAGCACTTCCTCTGGCCAGATTCAGGGTTAGAGAGAAATGAGGGAGAAAGTCCTATGCGTACACCTCCATCCGCCTTTACCTTCCAAATATAAGCAGTTTAAATCTTCAAAAGTTAAAAAATGTTTTTGATGTAAAATAAAATGCACTGAAATTCCCAAAACATTGGTTTAGTCAAAAAACAGAGGAGCCAAGTGCTCTGAAATTCAATTATTTTAGGAGGGTCCTGCCTTGCAACGGAAAGAACCTAATGAATTACAGCAAACAGTTCTTGGGTTCCTGTCACTCGGGCCATGATTTTTTATTTTTTTAATTTTTTAAAGATTTTATTTATTTATTTGACAGACACAGATCACAAGTAGGCAGAGAGGCAGGCAGAGAGAGAGAGCAGGGAAGCAGGCTCCCTGCTGAACAGAGAGCCCAATACAGGACTCCATCCCAGGACCCTGGGATCATGACCTGAGCCGAAGGCAGAGGTTTTAACCCACTAAGCCACCCAGGTGGGCCATGATTTAAAGACAGTTCACCAATATAGGTAGGTGAAGATGAATTCCCCAATTAATTGCACTGGGGAACATTGGTGATCAATGAGTTTACCTTTCTCTTATGTTTAGAAATGCACAAACTCATACATGTTAATTAAAAGAAAAAACCACTGGGGTGCCTGGGTGGCTCAGTGGGTTAAAGCCTCTGTCTTCGGCTCAGGTCATGATCTCAGGGTCCTGGGATCAAGCCCCACATTGGGCTCTCTGCTCAGCAGGGAGCCTGCTTCCTCCTCTCTCTGCCGGTCTCTCTGCCTACTTGTGATCTCTGTCAAATAAATAAATAAAATCTTTTTAAAAAAAAGTAAAAACTACTATTTTAAGCTAAAGGTCTTGAAATTTATTAGTTTACATACCCTACTTTCCCTTTTCAAAAAATTTCAGCGAGAAGACAATGACATTGGGAAACCTTCATATGAAATTACATACTATTCACAGATACTGACATATCTGAATTTGAGTTAAGGGGTATTCTGTTAAAAAAAAAAAAAAAAGGAAAAAAGGAAAGAAAAAGAGAAAGAAAAAAAACACTTAGAAAAACACACGAAAACTAGTACTAGATAGCTTAGCTTATATGAAAAAACACACACCAAAATTATTACAATGTAAAAAAGCATTATTTCTGGAGCCTAGTTTTGCACTGAATTTTGTGATGACACTGGAGATTATTACTGACACCTGGCATGGGCATACTAGACGTGGCCTCCAGTGGACTCCTTGCCCAGGTGCTAAGGGTCATAAGCCTGAAGAAGGTACAATGGTTGATGGGAAAGATGGTTACAGCAGCAGTCACAGAGCACTGGGTGCCCTGCTCAGTTGTGTTTGGCTCCGAGAGGACAAGAGGGAGAAGAAAACCCATCCTCAGCAAGGCTCAGCTAAATGGCAAGCTTTCCGTGATGTCCCCTCCACAAATAATGCCTTCCTCAGCTACTAGCCACCACTGTTGTGTTAGGTACTTTCCTCACTTTTTTCAGGTATGAAGCTTGGCGCTCAGAGAGGTGAAGTATCTCACCCAAGGGCACACAGTGGCCAATGGGAAGCCAGGAATGGGTCGCTGGCGTGGCTGATTCTAGTGCCCCTGGTCTTCTTAGGCCTTGGTGTACAAATGGAAATAAGAGAATCGGCCCATTGAATGTCCACTCACCCTTCCTGCCCACCTCCTTCACTTTCACTCACTCTCCAGGCTACCCCAGAGGGATACAGTAGCCAAATGTTTATTTAGATTCAGCAAGAAGACTCCAAAATTACTTAGCCACTGAAAACAGCTGAACAATTAAAACTCCTGCCTCAATTAATTGCACTTAACTGAATTTTACCTACTGTATACATTACTTCCATTTTATTTTTATTTTTTTAAAGATTTTATTTTTCTAAAACCTTTAAATAAACCTTATTTATTTGAGAGAGAGAAAGAGAAGGAGGGAGACCACTGAGGGAGAGTGAGTGAGAGGGAAAAGCTCACTCCCTGCTCAGCAGGGAACCCGATGTCGGGCTCGATCCCAGGACACGAGGATCACGGCCTGAGCTGAAGGCGGACGCTTACCCGGCTAAGCCACCCAGGTGCCCCCTCCCATTACCTCCATTGTAAATGATGCTACATCCAAACCCTAAGCAATGGATTCGCATCTGGTGAGCACTCTTTTCCTGTTTTTCCAGAAGAAAAGATATGACACTTAGTTGAACTAATGTCACTGTGCAGCCAGGGCCAGCGTTTGTCCAAACAACATACAGCACACCAAGTCGGGGTGGGCGTTTCTAGAGGCTCATTTTAACTACAGTGCAGCTCGGCCTCTCCCAGATGCTTCTTCACCTCCGGAGCACCCTCAGTTCTGGGCTCACCTGTATGCTTCCCACCTCTCAGGGGAGAGAGGGAGTGGGAGAGGGAATAGCGGGTAAACCAACCAGATGAGGTATACGAGACTGATCTCTCAGTGACTCCTTACCGGGCTGTGACCTGACCCTGTCTGGGCTGCTGAGGGTCTCTAGGAGGTGTGAGGTCAAGGACACGCTTTTCATTAACTTCATTTGCCCATTTGTAAAGGGGGCAGAGTGAAAAAATGTCTCAGAGAAGCTATAAGAAATGAATTCACTGGCAAGGCACGGAGACAAACGGGATTCACCTTTTCATAGTTGGAGTAGCCCCCCATGACAGCCGGGTCTACGATGCCACTGAGCAGCATGGAGAGGGGATGCACAGAGAGGGCTCGGTCCCAGGCATGCTGCTGAACACAGTTGCTGATCTTCTCATTGGTGAGTTCCATGGTTTCTATGGCATTCTCCAGGGGACTGATTTCCTCCTGTGCCAGAGGACAAGGAAGAGGAAGGGCATTTTGTGAGCTCACAGGGAAGACGGAAAGAAAATTATAAGCATTCTCTTTTAAAAGGTATAAAATTCTCACCAAGCTATAAAAAAGTTTTGCTTGTCAAGGTTATATTTATTTGGATACCACACGTACTGGAAATTATTTTGCTAAGTTGCAAAATAAGCGACTTAAAAATCTCCTTAGGAAGTACAAGGGTGACCCCAAAATTACAGTTCCCACAGTGATTCTTTCTTGGTGCCAAGGGTCTATAGAAATTTTGAAAAAAAAAAAAAAAAATTGGAGCTGTTGTAATGATGATTTTTAGGCAGAGCTTCCTCGGAGATTTTTTAGAAGCTCAATGACAACAGAGTTACGGGTTAACCGATCCCAGATAGTTCTGCAGCACCCAGAATGTTCCTTGGCAAGAGGCCTGATGCTTCTTCCATGAGAAAAGGGAAATGATTTTGGAAGCCATACATCCAGACGATACATAAGTCATCTTCGTATGGGTTCTGTGGTTCAAAGAAGTCAGAAATAAGAGGATGTACTAGAATATTCAAGTTGAATTTTGGATGAAAATGAAAGAAGATTCAATACAGATTCAGAAAGAGCGACTCCTGTGGAAACGTCTTCAAAGCCAGGTTTCAAGAAAAATTTCCTTCTTCATTTTACCCATTGCCAGCCAGCATGACCGCCTACTGCAGCCTTGATGTCAAAAGTCTCTAAGAAAATCATACTCATACTTGAAAAGTAACAACTTATTACTAGGGGTATGGAACACATCAGATTTCAGTTCAGATCTGTTCAAGACCTACTTCTTGAAAGTGTATTACCTGCCAAGTACTGTGCTATCCTCCACAGTCACAAAAGTGACTAGGATATAATTTGTGGCTGGGAGGAGCCTACGGTTTTATAGTGGGGTCTCAAGACACATAAGCACGGGACCAACTTGTTAGAAATAAGCCCAGGTTGCGGCGGGGCACAGAGAAAGGGCATCTAACCCTCCTTGGGAGCTTCAGACGTGGCTTCCAGGTGAAGCTGGCACCTAAAATGAGTTTCTATGGGAGATAGTTAGGTTGAGAAGTAGCATTTTGGGCAAAGAAAATGCCCCACTGTCATGGAGGGTTGAAATAACATGGAATGAGTTTAGTTCCAGAAGATTCCATAGGAAATGGGGTGGCAGAGCTGAGTCACAAGGATTTTGTATGAACCTGCTAAGGAACAGGGGCTTTATGCTCTGGGTACTGCCGAGCCACGGCAAGGTTCTAAGCATGAGAAGAAGATGGTCAGTTTTCCACTGTGAAACTCTCTGTGGAACTGTGAGGAAAACAGGCCTGTGAAGGCCAAGGCAGGAGGCCAATGAAGGGGCTTTTTCCATGGCATCCACCAGAGATGAATGAGGTACTAAAATGGGGTACAGTAATAGGAGATCTGGAAATAAAGAAAACAGATTTAATAACTATTAAAAAGGTAAAAGGGGCAGCTTTGGGGAAGGACGGAGAAGGAATTGTCTGGGATGACCAGTGATGTGATTAGCCACGAATGAAAGAAGAGGAAACATTCTGGGAGAGAATCTGACTGACAGCACACTCAAAGGAGACATTCCAAAAATGGATTGGTGCACTGGCAGGATCATGAGGAGACGAGATTCATTTGCTCATAAAAGAGTCATTGACTGTGAGTAACCTTTAGGGTTGGTGTTGTAACATCAGTTATACAAAGGAGTTCTATTAGACAAGCATGGCTTTTATTTCTCTTTTGGAAAACAAAATTGGCCAGAGGAGGCTGGCCAAGCTAGTGAGAACTGGAGGAGGGCTTAACAAAGGCTCTTATTATATCTGGAGACACAAAGAATTTTCTGAGTTTCCATTTCAAATGACTCACCGTTGAAATTTGTTTGACTTCAAACCACTTGAGAATCCCAGGAAATGTGTACGCAGTTGTATACGTCGTCCTTTCGATCCACATGGTCTGGTGGAAGGAAGGAAAATCGGAAATGTCAGTTCCCAGGCAACACGGCAATGCTCCCTAGTGGAGGTCAGGGAGATTCTATTTCCAAATGCTTCCTTGGTAAATGGGCCGTTATTTTGAGGATGCTGGAGGTTTAAAACTGCAAGGGATCATCTGCTTGGGCCCTCTCACCCCCTAGAGGGGACACGTGAAGCCCAGCAGCAACCCTGGAGCACAAGAGCAAAGCCGTCTTGAGGGGAGGGACTCCAATCTCGAGTTCTCCACTGAGACTGGCTGCTCTCTAGGTGGGAAGTGCGTAGCACCTCTGTCCTGTGTCTCTACAGCTGCCATCGTTTCTGTGATCTGCACTCGTTAGTTGGAAAGCCTACTTTACCTTGTTTTAGAGGGCAAAGAGGGTGGACTCACAGCAAATTCATTGTCTGGATCCTTCTCTCCTTTCCGGAATGGCCTGGAATATCTGAACTGCTGCACTTCATTGGCTCTGTAGTAGCTGGAGAAAGACATGGCCACCGTGCTGTAGCTGGTCTCTTAGAACGGGCAGTCCTCGGTCAGATTTCAATAAAACCCTGGCCCACCTCTTACACAGCCTAAGTCTTAGCCACTAAGCGACCTCCGAACTGTCTCCACAGAGAAGGCTGGAGGAGGTGCACGATTTGATTTTATTGCGGATCTTTCTTATTTATAAATCCATTCCACAGCTCACCACCTAAAAAGATCTATGTATTTATATCCATGTTTGTGATTTCATGTATTTTTTTTTTTTTTTATCACAATTGTAGCAATCCTACTACTAGCATTTTAGCTTCTCAGGAAAAAAGAAATGAGGCCTTCGATCACTGGGGACCCCACAGCACCAGGCAAGGTGAAGTCAGCCACTCCTCAGTGAGTGCTTCTGAGCAGAAGGAAGATAGAGGAGTTCTGAAGTCTCACAGTGAAATTCCTGATTTCCCTGTCTGCCTAAAAAAGACCCGCAAAGCTCCCAAATCCCTTTGAGTCACCAAGCTCTTATTTTACACTGAAAATACAATAAAGGGCTACTGTGGTCTGAATGCCAATGTGGAAATCCTGTCCCCCAGTGTGATGCAATCAGGAAGTCGTGTCTGTGGCAGGTGCAGAGGTCACAAGGGTGGGGCCCTCATGAATGGGATGAGTGCCTTTATAAAAAGAGACCCCAGAGAGCTCTGTCACCCTTTCTGTGTGTGAGGACACAGTGAGAAGTGTCTGTGAATCAGGAGCCAGGTCCTCACCAGACACCAGATCTGCTGCCACCTGACTTTGGACTTCCCTGGCCTCCAGAACTGTGAGAAATAAATGTGTTGTTTCTAAGCCAACTAGTCTGTGGGGTCCTGCTATAGCAACCCCAAAGGGCTGAAACAACAGAAGGTCTTCCACATGAGTTTAAGGCTTTGGTTTTAAAGATTTTATTCATTCATTCATGCATTCATTCATTCATTTATTATTTAGAGTGTGGACATGAGCTGGGGGGTGGGGGAGGGGAATCAGGTGACTTCTACTAGTGGGGCTCGATTCATGACCCTGAGATCATGATCTGAGCTGAAATCCAGAGTTGGATCCTTCACTGACTGAGCCACCCAAGAGCCCCAAACCTTGGGTTTTGATATACTTCTAGATAAAGTACGTTAGAGAGAAAATATTTTTTAAAGATTTTTATTTATTTGTCAGAGAGAGAGAGAGAGCGAGTGAGTGAGTGCGTACAAGCAGGCAGAGTGGCAGGGAGAGGCAGAGAGAGAAGCAGGCTCCCCGCCAAGCAAGGAGCCCGATGCGGTACTCGATTCCAGGACCCCAAGATCACAACCTGAGCCGAAGGCAGCGGCTTAACCCGCTAAGCCACCAAGGCACCCCAAGAAAATGTTTTTTAAAAGCAGCAAAAAAAAAAACCAAAACCCCAAACCCTACTTACTTTAAGATCTGCTCCGGAACTGGTTTGTCCTTGTAGCTGGGTGGCAGGCTCATCACCGGCTTCACAGTGAAACACTGCATGTCTGAGAAACTCGTTAAGGACGGACAAGGGGCCGGGCCATGAAGGTGTCCCAGGCAGAAAGCACCACCCATTCCTCCTGCTTTTAGGCTGGAAATGATACCTGCCTGAATCACTCCTTTTCCCCGAGTGCCGGCGCTGCACTGAAAACAGCATTCCCTGATGTATTATGAAAATGCCTGATTAAGTTATAATCCTAGGACATTTTTTGGTCAGACCCCTGGCAAGCAACCCTGCCGCAAGGAAACTATCAGGGGAAGAGGGATTCGAAACAATTTTAAGTCATTTCTTTTGGACAAGGACGCCTGTGAAACAGCTCGACTGCGGGGCCCGTGCAGTAGGAACGTCTGGTGTCTGTGGCCATCGCCTGTCCATAGAGGGCCATAGCTGGGCATGGAACGAGGTTCCTAACATGTTCCCACAGTAATGAACACAACAACCAACAGGTGATATTATGACTCTCCTTCTACAGAGGAAGACTCTGAGGTTCTGAGAAAACCCAGAGCACACAACTGTCCATGGTGAAGTCAGGCTTCTAATCCAGCTCAGGGGAAGAACTGTCTCGATAATTTTAATAATGACTTTTTTTTGTCCTTGACAGTGCATATATACTGTTTCAAAATCTAGAGCATTTAAAGTCGAGGTGAAGGCCCTCGGTGGGGACAAAACAGTGACTGCCAGCATCTCAGGGTGGTGTGCGGCCCTGGGCACCAGAACCACATGGACACTCACAGGATGCACGATAAGAACTCCCAACGGCTGAATGAGAATCTCTCCGTGGTGAGTCTCACCTATAACAAAATCTGAGGACCACCGGGCTGTGTGTTTCCTGGTCTAGCTGACAGAGCGTTTTCATAGAAATGACCTCCTTTCGACTTTGAGCCTCCCAGAAGTGCTACTGGGTATTTGGGGAAAAGAGACTCACATCTAATGGATGAGAAACCAAGGGCCTGGAGGAGGGAAGCCGTTTGGGAAAGGCCAAGAGGGCAGGCAGAAAGGACTGAGGGCCCAGCGACAGGAAATCCTAAATCTAGTTCTTGAAGACCTCGTCATTACCACACCATGAAGGCACCTCCACTGTCTTCTGAACCCACATAACCCAAACAAGGATTTATCCTAGAAGACCATTCCTTCCCAAGCATCTGCTATGTATTAACAGGCTGCCCTTCTCTTAAAGGTGTGCCTGTTTATAGGTCTGTTATTATTGTCAATCTTTCTATAGTTACTTACCAACCTATATGTATAGTAATGGCCAATATATATTGAATTTTTATTATGTACCAGGCACTGTTCCTAATATTTGACAAATGTTTACTCAATCTTTACAAGAACTCTTGTAAGAGTTCTTGTGAGAAAGGATGATCATTATCCCCATTTTACAGATGGGAAAACTGAGGCACAGAGAAATTGAGGAACTTGCTCAAAGGGACAAAGTAAGTGACAGAGCTGAGACTTGAACCCAGGCAACTTGGCTCCAGAGCCTGCTCTCTTATCTACCCTGTCACACCAGCTCTGGCTTATCTACATCTTGAATAGTGTTCAGTGTTGGAGTATCTTTATTTTAGCACAAAACACATGAAAAAAGTTTTAAAGATAATTTTGTTAAAGAGCTCTTAGTGTTTGTTCTTTTTTTCTAAGCGAGCATGTAATTAATTTTTCAGTAAGTCACTCAATGTTATTCAGCAAGTCACTGAATGTTATAAAAGAAAAGCTATACATCTTTCTCCAGAATCCAGAATCCTGAACAGTCCTTCTCAAGCTCCCCATACAGCTATAAAACATATCCTTTCATATTCAAGATTTGCTTATTATCTCTCTCCTTTACTTCATAACCATAAGCTAAGGACATCAGGGTCCCAAAGCTTTTACACAGAATGGGAAACTGAGTCAGAAGGTTACGTGAGTGGTCAGAGGGCAGGGCATATCCGCGTGCAGAGACAGGACTGAACCCTCAGCTTCTGTGGCTGGGCTGGGCCACGTCTCTCCAAGGTGAGGATACACTGCTTTGGGGACGACTTGATGTCTTCTCCCGGGGGCGTGGTGCTGGTCATCTTCTCGGCATTGGGGAACTGGGTCAGCAACCTCAGGCTGAAGTCTTCTCGCCTCTCATACTCCTTCCCCCGGTAGATGAAGATTTTGTTCTGCAGGTCAGAGACAGCAAGGGGACTGATGACATATGAAGAGTGAAGGGGTGACTGGGGATCCTTGTGCTGAGGACACTATAGCCCTCCCTGGCCAAAGGGCATTCTGCCAGAAATTCTCACTGAATACCTACTATGCGCCCAGTAGCAACCACTGTACCTGGCAAGAGCTCATGGTTTCTTGGGGGAGATAAGTCATTGGCATAAGGCTGCCACTGCAGTGCTTCTCAGAGCGTGGCCCCATGAGAATCGCTGGTCTGTAAATGGTCTGTACCGACCCACAGGGAGATGAGCTTGTGCCCTAATGTAGACCCATGATGTCACCAGGCACAACGCTGAATTTAGTTGATTTTTTTCGTAGCAAGACAAGCCCTCGTCTTTTCATGATCTGGTTGTGGACCAGCACTTGGACTGGGGCTGACTTGGAGAACAGCAAAGTTAGGAAGAGACTCCACACAACTCTCCATTAACAGGGAACAGGAATAATTTAGAGCAGTTCCTCGGCAATCCTGAAAATCCCTGCGGACAGCAATGTCAAAGGCTCACAGAACACAACTGCTCCGAATCCTATTCTCTCCCTTCTAATCTACATTCCTTTTCTGTTTACTAAAATTAATGAAATTGGATTTTTTTTTAAGAAAGAAATTTCCTAGGCTCCAGGCATGGGAGTACTTTGACTCATAGTGCTGCTGCCCCCGCAAATTCAAACGTAGCCATGCTTCAAAGGTTCCTGCTCATCTGATGATCGCTCAGATAAGACTCCGCATCGGCAGCCCATATAGGATCCACTTTTTAACTAAACCTTGGGCCCATATTGTCCTGGAAAATGTTTTTTAAAATCACCTGTCCATTCCTCTAGCAAATATGTATTGGACAAACAGGAGATAATGCTAAGGCACTAGGGATATAACGATGAACCTACTCTCACAAAACTCACCTTCTGGTGGGCAGAAACAGAAAACAAGAAAGTATGATAGTTAACAGGAAGGCAACAAACCTTCTAGGATAAACACCGATGGCAGGAAAAACTGCCAGGTCTTCTGGAATATATGATGAGATTTTTCCAAGCTGGGAAAGATTAATATCTTTATGCATTTCCATCATTCGGGCAAAGCTGTGGCCGGTAAGGAAGCAGAGGGTAAGGCAGCACTAATCGTAGGATGTGGACAACAATGGGAACGGAAGCAGACAAGCACAAGGTCTGCACAGGCTAGCACAGACTGAACGAGGGGCTTCCAGGAAATGTGGCATTGGCTGTGCCCAGGTGAATGGACACGGTAAGGAGAGGAAAAGAGAAGGGGAGGGCAACCAGCAGGAAGAGTGAAAGGAAGGACAGGGCCACAGGGCAGAAAGTATAGAACTGAAGTAGAAGATAAACTAGGGTGAGCCCGAACACTGAAAGGCAGGTACCAGTTCCCAAAGCCTGGGGAATCCACTGGAGGTTCTGGAAGGAGGGAGTGAAATGACAGAACCACGAGTGTAGACAACCTCAGCGCAAAGTAGGGTGTGTGTCCAACCATAGGAATCCCAAGCAGGATTGAACTGGAGGAGGAGAAGCTTTTGGTGTCTCACCCTGGTGTCTGGCAGAGGGGGAAGATGGGGGAGAAGCACCAAGGATTCTGAGCTTGCTGGCCCAGAGCAGGAGGAGCAGCGGTGCCACTGACAGAAACGGGGAGGGAGGGAGGCCTGGTTGGGGCAAGGAGGGAAGAGGACGACATGAGTCTGGATATTCTGAGTCTGGGGAAATGGCCCATAACACAGAAGGGCATGGAGGTTACACCATGCAGAGGCTTTTATATTTTCCAGCACACAGTGATAATACCTAACATCCATACGCCACTTTACAGTTTATGGAGCGCTCCTCCATGCTATTTATTTAATTCCGAAGCAGCCCTGGGATGTGGGCGGTATTTCTCTAACTCACACATCAGACAACCTGGAGGTTACGTAATTTGGTCAAAATCCTATAGCTGGGGGCACCTGGGTGGCTCAGTGGGTTAAAGCCTCTGCCTTCTGCTCAGGTCATGATCCCAGGGTCCTGGGATCAAGCCCCGCGTCGGGCTTTCTGTTTAGCAGGGAGCCTGCTTCCCCCCCCCTCTCTCTGCCTGCTCTCTGCCTGCTTGTGATCTCTGTCAAATAAATAAAATCTTAAAAAAAAAAAAATCCTATAGCTGATGATGGAGGAACCCCCCGCTTTTCAACTTGAAAGTCTAACCTTTGCTCAAACCAGTGCCGTCTCCAGCTCACGCCCCCTATTTCGCGGGACACCACAGTCACCCACACATGCACAGCAGCCACCACTGCCCTATCAGGACTAGAGACACTGACCACCAATCTCAGTCTAGAAGCTACTGCAAGGCTCCTTCCCAGACCCTCTCCTCCTGGTGCTCCATTCTCTCTCCCTGCGCTCTCTCCTCCACACGCAAACAACCCACCAATTTTACATACAGTCTGGAATGTTCCTTTGAGTTCCGGGTCCGTGCATCAAACTGCTGACTCCCATCTGCTGGATGTCCCACATTACCTCAGGTGGAGTGTGGCCCCAACCAGACTTTTGCAAAGAACATATAAAGATCTGAAAGGCCATCTGCAATCTGGGACCCCAAGCCACCTGCCCCCACTTCTCGACTTGCCCTCTTCTTCACACTCTTCCAGCCTCACACTTTCGAACCTGCTAGACCCCCATCTCATCTCTTGACCACTACCTCACTTCTTTCAGGTTTTTGCTTAAATGGCATTTTCTCACTGATGTTTTTCTTATTCACTCCATCTAAATTTATAACTCCATCCCCATTACCTGCCTCTCTCTTCACCTGCCCCGACATTTTCTCCATGATACACATGGAGTGTCTACAAGGGGTGAGGCATTGTTCTAGGCCATCGGACACACTAAATGTTTCACTTACTTCTTGTATGTCTCTAAACTAGAATATAAGCTCCATCATTTCAAGGATTTGGCTTGGACTGTGCCCCCATGCATATAACACAGCAAGGCAGAGAGCAGGAGTTCAATAAACATTTATTCAATGAATGGATTGAATCTCTCTACCATGACTCTATTTTCCAGTATTGCTGTCTTACTGGATGGCTCCATAGTCCTTCCAGTTAGGCAGCCAGAAATCTAGAAACCATTCTTGCCACTTCCATTCTTCCTCACCCACGTGTCCCAAGAAAAATCATCAAATACTGTTACCTTATCATCTGAAATCTCTCCATTTTTCTCTAAAGCCACTTCCCTAGGATGTCCGGCCATCCCTTCCCTCAACAGCTGTAACAGTCTCTAAGTGGCTTATCTGTACACATCCAGCCTTGTCCGTACCAGCCAGATGATGACTTTGCTAAGACACACAATCTGCAATGGCTCCCTCCAGCTCTTGGGGTGCCAACAACACAGCCACAGCAACCTCACGCACTGTCTTGCAAGTTGTCCCCACGCTTCATGCCTCACCTCCCTACTAGCCCCACATCCTCTGCTCCCGCTGGACTGGTCTTCCATTCTCAGGCATTGCCATGAGCTTGCCCACCGCTTCCTCTGCCTGCAATGCCTTTTTCCTACCACCTTTATCTCTGAGACTCCAAGCTCGCCTTTCATATTGCAGCTCAAGCAGAAATTCCCTAGGAAGTCTTTCCCAACTCTTAAAAAAAAAAAAAAAAAAAAAAAAGTGTAATTTACATATAGTAAAATCTACTATCTTTAAATTTACTATCATTTTTTTTATAAATATATATTTTTATCCCCAGGGGTACAGGTCTGTGAATCGCCATGTTTACACACTTCACAGCACTCACCATAGCACATACCCTCCCCAATGTCCATAACCCCAAACCCCGCAACCCCCCTCCCCCCATCAACCCTCAGTTTGTTTTGTGAGATTAAGAGTCACTTATGGTTTGTCTCCTTCCCAATTCCATCTTGTTTCATTTACTCTTCTCCTATTCCCTTAACCCCCCATGTTGCATCTCCTCTCCCTCATATCAGGGAGATCATATGATAGTTGTCTTTCTCAAATTGACTTATTTCGCTAAGCATGATACCCTCTAGTTCCATCCACGTCGTTGCAAATGGCAAGATTTCATTTCTTTTGATGGCTGCATAGTATTCCATTGTGTTATAGACAACATCTTCTTTAACCATTCATCTGTTGATGGACATCTAGGTTCTTTCCATAGTTTGGCTATTGTAGACATTGCTGCTATAAACATTCGGGTGCACGTGCCCCTCACTACGTTTGTATCTTTAGGGTAAATACCCAGTAGTACAATTGCTGGGTCATAGGGTAGTTCTATTTTCAACATTTTGAGGAATCTCCATGCTATTTTCCAGAGTGGTTGCACCAGCTTGCATTCCCACCAACAGTGTAGGAGGGTTCCCCTTTCTCCGCATCCTCGCCAGCATCTGTCATTTCCTGACTTGTTAATTTTAGCCACTCTGACTGGTGTGAGGTGATATCTCATTGTGGTTTTGATTTGTATTTCTCTGATGCCGAGTGATATGGAGCACTTTTTCATGTGTCTGTTGGCCATCTGGATGTCTTCTTTGCAGAAATGTCTGTTCATGTCTTCTGCCCATTTCCTGATTGGATTGTTTGTTCTTCAGGTGTTGAGTCTGAGAAGTTCTTTATAGATTTTGAATACTAGACCTTTATCTGATACATCATTTGAGACTATCTTCTGCCATTCTGTCAGTTGTCTTTTGGTTTTGTTAACTGTTTCCTTTGCTGTGCAAAAGCTTTTGATCTTGATAAAATCCCAATAGTTCATTTTTGCCCTTGCTTCCCTGGCCTTTGGTGATGTTCCTAGGAAGATGTTGCTGTGGCTGAGGTCGAAGAGGTTGCTGCCTGTGTTCTCCTCAAGGATTTTGATGGATTCCTTTCTCACATTGAGGTCCTTCATCCATTTTGAGTCTATTTTCGTGTGTGGTGTAAGGAAATGATCCAATTTCATTTTTCTGCATGTGGCTGTACAATTTTCCCAACACCATTTATTGAAGAGGCTGTCTT